CTCTGTTCTTCGTCCCTGAGCGCGGGCTCTACGTGCGCTGTAATTGGCCAGTGTTTTTCGTTAATAATTCAAAAACGAAGCTTCAAACTACATTTTAGAAAAGGAAAAAGTTGTTCAGAGTCACCCCAGCAACCCCCCATTTCCGGGTGTTCGAGGAGTTACGGGACACCCTGTAGATAAATTTCATATATTTTATTTCATATGTATGATATATTAAAATTACAGACATATAAATTTTACCAACAATTTAGCTATTTGGCAGAAAATTTTTTGAAGGTACTTTCAGAAATAAATAAAATCACATAAATGGAGATAGTTTGTTTTTGTAATACATAGTATATTTATGTAGGGTAAATGCTGGCAATGCCAAGCAAAAGTTACTACGATAAAACATATGTTAAACTGGTTAATTATTTGCATTGATAAACAATTGTTTTACTTCGATGGTAATTAATTGTTCATACCATTTAAAATATTCGTATAATAGTGATATATTTTTATGTATTTGTTCTAAAGGCTTTCTTATTTAAAACGATATTTTACAAAGCTGCATAAGAAAATATTTGACCAAAAATAGTAGAAATGCAAACAATTTTATTAATTTATGAAGGGAAAATTTAAATTTTAGCAACAATCGATTTGTGAAGTCAAATGAGGAAGAGTAAGTACACGCCTGCGCCGTTTTCTCTGTGAACTCTTTTATTTCAAGTACTTGCACGAAGCATACAGTATTAGAAATTAAATATGTAGTTTGATTTTTGTAATATTTTTGATGTGAAATTTTAAAGTGGTCGTGTAAAAAATTGTGTAAAAAGTTGCAAAAATGCGCGACAATGTAAGTTGCTGTAAAAGAAAGTATAGTTTACCACATGCTGCATTATGACAATCGATCTATTATATTCAGTGTTCAATTCAATACCTTCATGATTTTATTTATTTCTCTATGTATTTATATTTCTAAACTTATCTAAATTACAATAATAAAACAGAAAGGAAAATACAATTTTTACAAAATGACTTTTTTGCAGGAAGGGTCGATATTATGTATATTATTAGTATTAATTTTATGTACAGAAGTATACGCAATGAGCGCGAAACATCTTATTAAAAAAAGAAATTATAGTGATCAAAGTGTAAGACGTTATTTAGCAGAGGTAAGCGATAAGTAAACAGGCACGATATCATATTAGTATCGGTAGATGCATGTGAATTTTTTTTCTTGTTTCAGCGGACTTGTTGGTGGAATGAAGTTTGTAAAGAAGAATTTCATAGCAAATTTCGATGCCGTTGTCCTCGATGGTCCTATTGCCGTGCCCCTGGTAGATATTATGACGCGCATTGTAGTATGACACGTACCGGCTATATTTGGACTCAACCAGAGACTTCGTTAACACTTGAAGTCAATAAATAAATTTCTTTAATAAATTTTATATTAATCGTGTTTATCATCAATCAGAAATTCATGTAGTCATATCTTACACAAGCCAATTATGTAAAGTAGAAACCAAATTAATATTTAACATTTTTGATAGGTCACAATTGTTACACACTCAATACGCTTGTGATACATAATTATTAATCTCTCATTTATTTTCGTTTCTACTCTTCTCTGGTATTTTTCTATGTCTATATAATAAGCTAGAGTTTACTTTCCTTTCATTTTTATCTAGTTACAAATTATAACGGAGCAAAATAATAATAAAACAAATATTCGCGCAAATTCTTAAATATGTCAACAAATTAGAAAATGGTACATATTAATTCAATTTTCTATTTTTAATATTGTTATTAATTCGTTGTTATTTAGAAAGGAAAAAGATAGTACGATTTTTTTATTGAATAAAAGTATTTAAAACTGTTTATCTTTTATTAAAAGATTGTCCCCTATTGATAAAATTGAAAGATTTGTTAAATCTTTTGTATTTGATATTGTGTTATCTATTTAATTAAATCACTGCAAATAAAAAAAAATGTTTTTCACTTCATTCATTAATATTTCAAGACAGTTTAGCTAGTTACATATAAAATCAATTTGTACACATTTATTTCGTTGAAGATATACATTCAAATGCTTCATTTAATTATAAGCACTATAAACAACATTGTATCATAATGACAATATAAGTACAAAATATTATATTATGATACAAATACAATTAAAATGTATTTTTAATTTTTAACCATGGTTTTGCATGTGTATGTAAGATTGTGATTTTATTAAAAGCAAAATACTTTTTAATTTTCATTTGATTCGAAGAATAGAATTTAATACATTTTTTGTTAAAAAATATGGTCACAATACATCATTTTTGCACATACCAGCGTCTATATTATATATTTACAGAATATTTAGTATAACCAAAAACTTTGAAAAATCGATTAATCTAAATCACAAATACATCGATTTGTCGATTCTTCCGTAATCTATTTTCTCAATAACTGCAAGTCCTACAAGAGTTATAGGTTTGGAAATCTAAGCATTATAAAAAGTTATTTAAATACTTTTACAACTCGTTCCTGTAAAATTAATCTTACTGAATAATTAATAATTTGAGACAAGTGTAAGTGTTTTTTTATGTTTCCTTAAATTTTTAAATTTAAAACTAATAATATGTAAATAATATAAAATCTTTATTAAATTCCACAAAATTAATCTCAAATTTTCATAATAATAATAATACGATATTAAGCATGTCCTACAATGCGTACATATTATTAATACATGATGCGGAATATTCTAATACATTTAGTGCAGTGAAAAATTTTTTCTTTGTATACATTTTACATAGACTATTAAATATTTATTATGAAAATAAATATGTTTATGTACATTATTATGTATTTAAATCAGTTATGTAAATATTATAATTTAATTTCTTTTTTGAAAAGATATGTATTTGTTATATTCTTGTATACAAATATATTATCAATGTACCTTTATCACCATTTATCCAGCAGCATATGGTTTTATTTGGTGCAATTATCAAAGACAAAAAGGTTTGAATAAAGACATTCATTTACAAATTTTTAGTTAATGTAGCTTTTGATTTATTTACTTTTGTTATTAGTATCTAATTCTGATACTTACAAAAGTATTTTTTCATTAATTAATTGAATTAATCTATAATAAGAGTTGTAATAAAGTACAATAAAATATGATACATTTTTGCTCAATGCATTCTCCAATAATTCTAACAACAATTCTTAAGTACAATATCAATTATGTACATTTTGATAGTACACTATTATTTAATTTTT